TGCAAAGAGCGAAATATACTGATCCCAATCTCTCTGATGGTTTGAAACCACTTTTGACAGATATTTGTCTTATTCATTCGCTCTACCATTCCATCGGATTGTGGGTGCAATGCTGTGGTTCTGGTTTTCTTCATACCTAGTCTGTCACAGATTCCACGGAAAAGTTGACTTTCAAAATTTCTGCCTTGGTCACTGTGGATCTCCAAGGGCACTCCAAATCGACAGATAATCTCTTTTAATAACACATCTGCAACAGTTGCGGTCTCTTGATTTGGAATGGCATAGACTTCCACCCACTTTGTATAATAATCCATAACCACCAAAATGTATTTATTACCATCCTCGGTCGCGTGGAATGGTCCAGCAATATCTAAGGCGATCCTCTCAAATGGGCTACCAACGTTATATTGCTTCATGGGAGCCTTCCTTTTTCGTTGAGGTCCATTACTCATAGCACAGGTACACCAGTATTTCTTATACCAGTCCTTTACATCATCGGAACTGTTCATCCAGTAAAACCTTTCCCGAACTATCTGAAGGGTTTTCCTAACACCGAGATGGCCTCCTGATGGACTGTCGTGTAATTGACGAAGTACTTCAACTACTCTACTTCTTGGAATGACCAACTGTTTTCTGTTCTCGGAACCATCATCATTTTCAAGTACTCGCTTTAATAAGCCATCTTCCAGAATAAAGGAGTCCCACTGAGCCCAATATGATTTAACTACTGGAGAGAGTTTCGATACCTCTTGCCAAGTAGGTCGACTATTTTCCTCTTTCCATTCTCTTATCTTCTTTAAAACGGGATCGTTTTCTTGTTCTTCGCTAAGTTTGACAGGGGCCCACTCATCGCTGACAACCGACGTTCTTCGTACTGTAACTTCTTTAACCGATGTGGCCTTTCCTTGACCAACACCTTCATTGCGCTTCAGAGGTTCCGCCATGACAGGCGTTACTTTCTCTACAGTTCCTTGCAACCGCCTTACTCTTATGGTTTCACTACTTTCAGGCAACACCTTTTCTTTCTGTACAGCCACCGGCACGGTTTTTCGATTCGTAGTGTTCTTTGGGCGTTCGCGCGAACTGCTTACTTTTCCCTTTTTACCGCAATTCCAGCATCTAATAGTCTTCGGTTGCTTCTCAATAAGGCTTTTTATCATGTGAAACAATTGGTCCAATTTATTTCTTCTTTTACAGTCCTTACTTCACTGTATCCACCAGAAGCCAGCGTAGCCGCTTCATATTCAAGAGCAGCGGACAAGACATCGACCAATGTTTTGTGACAGGCTAAACGGAGTGTTCTTTGCATTTCATGGTCACGAAGTCCATCTACAAATGCTTGAACAGCCAAACATTCAATCATGTATTCCGGAGCTGATGGGTAGGCAAATCGCACCATTTTCGAAATATCTAATTCAAATTCTTGAAGGCTCTCGTCACGTTTCTGTTTACGATTCTTCAATTGTAATCTATACACCTGCTCCAAGTGTTCATGGCCATATCGCATATTTAGTCTCTTTTTGAGTTGTTCAAAATCATCTGTCTCTTCCACGGGTATAGTCTGAAGGACATCCAAAGCGTCTCCTCTAAGGGATATGGTCAAATTTATTGCCTTCTCTCGTTCAGACCAGTCGTTTGCTCTGGCAGCTGTTTCGAACTGCTTAATGTAGTTCGTCCATGACATCTTACCGTCAAAAGTTGGGGCTTTAACACGAGGAGAGTTTACAGCTCCTTCCAATTTCAACTTCGACTCCACCTCATGGCACTTTATTTCACCGTACTTGGTTTGGTCTACGTGTTCCATTTCTTCTCTTTTTTTCTATTTCTTTTATTTTCTCCTCAACGGAAGACATTATTTTATTCTCAACGGAAGAAATTTCATTTCTTATGGAAGATATATCAGAGGAGACTTTAATTTCTATAGAAGACATTTCTGCAGACACCTTTTCTTCTAAGAAAGAAATATCAGACGAAACTTTATTTTCTAAAGAAGAAACTTTATCATCCAAGGAAGATATATCGGAAGAAACTTTAGTTTCTAAGCAGGAAATGTCACTTTTAATAGAAGAAACATCAGAAGAAATTTTATTTTCTATGGAAGACATTTTAGTTAAATTTACTAAGATGCTGTAATATGTTATCTCGCAATTGCGTAATAACAAGTCGCAATTGTTAGATTATAAGTCGCAATTGCGAGATAATAAGTCACAATATAGTAACTCTCAATTGCGAGATATTAAGTCACAATTGTGCGATAATGAGTCGCAATTGTGAGATAATACACAATTGCGAGATACATTTTTTTTATTTAAAAAAAGTGACCTTAGGAAGCTTTAGCTAAGGACGTTTTTTAGAAGTTAGTCACAAAATGGAGGACCGGGTTGACGAAAAATACAAGGTGAGGACCTTTAAAATGTCCCTGGGCCCCACCATGGCTCTCGGCAGCCCTGGTTTTGATAATCAATTTTCATTATTTGGCATCAATTTAGTGAGGTTTAATCTCAAATCTCCTCACTAAATCAGGTCCATTTTGTTTTTTATTTGGTTACAAGATTGGCAACCGGGCTGATACCTTTTTCCACTAGATATGAAGATGTAAAAGTAATTAAAACCTTTTTCGCGATATTACATAATGCAGGATAAGTAACAAAGTATATCTTTTTAAAGCCATAATAGCTTATATCCGTTTCTAAACTGCATCTTAAGTTTTTCGTTATTGCTTATTCCGATCAGTTCCTCTTGTAATATGACAAATGTTTTTTCAACGTCATCATATGGATTAATTATCTATTGTGCTATTACTATATTCAAAATATCCTTAAACCTTACATCAAAATCTGCATTCAGAGCATTTAAATGTTGAAAGTAAGTTAAAACGTCCTCTTCCTGGCAGTTTGTCAGTGACAAATTGGGAAACTGGAAAAATTCGCCCTGTCCAACGTTTTGTTTCATAAGTTTAATTCTGGCAAGAAATGCAGAAATTATGGACTTTTATCAAATTTTGGCTGTCATCTTGTTAACCTCATTAAATTTACTCAATGTCTGGTTTGCACCTGATTAAACTTTGTTTTAAAATTTGATCTTTCGCATCCAAAAACTCTAAAACAGTGTCGAAAAGAGTAAAAAATCTTGTCAGGCATAAGCCTTTTGAAAGCCAGCTCACTTCAGTGTGAAGAAGCAATTGATGAAAGTTCGCGTTATTTTCTTCACATAACTGAGCAAATAATCGCGTATTCAATGCGTTGCGTCGAATTCGGTTTACTGAGTTGATGACAAATTGAAGAGATTCATGTAATCTACTACTTATCTTTTAGGCAATTAAATATTGTCGATGGATAATGCAGTGCATTGCTAACACGCCGGGTACATTTTATTTTAAGTGGCTTACAAATCCACAGTAGCGCCCAACCATGGCAGGTGCTCTATCCGTGGCTACTGATATTATATTTCATAAAGGTATCGCTTTTTGTGTTATTAATATAACATTTTAAATGCTTGTGAGAACGAATTGCAATTTGATAGTATATATACAGTTTTTTCAAAAGCATTTCATAGAGTTAATCACAATCTATTAATAAGTCAAGTTGAGTCTCGTAGGACAAATGCAAGTATTTTATTTTGTACCCAAATTTACAAATAGAATAGATTACAGTATGTTAAAATTATTAATTTTGTATCAAATATACTAGATGTTCCTTCTGGAGTACCAAAGTGTTCCATCTGTGGACCAATTTAATTTAATTTATTTGTTAATGATATTGGTGAAGTATTTGATCATTCAAAATATCTTCTCGGTTGACGGCACCAGTCTTAAAAGGGCGAATGAAATCAAAGATATCTGTATTATAATTAAAAACAGTAAAAACCTATCTTTGAGTAATATAAGACTTTTATATTCATCACTAATTGGGTCAAATATTGAGTAAGGATCTGTTGTATTGTGTCCGCTTTATCAATGTCACAGGGTGCAGAATAAATTTCTTAGACATTGCCTACGACCTTTGCTATTAGGCTGGGTTATAGGTGGAGCGAAATCAGCTATCAATCAATTAGTAATTTCTAACTTATTATCACTGGAGAGACGTAGACTTGATGCAGATTAATTGTTAGTTTATAAATTGATTAATGGTTATGTCAACTCTTGTCACAATTTTGTTTTAAGGCTGGGCCAAAAACAAATAGAAAGATACCCCGCTTGTAATTTGTTTATCTGTGCTAATCTGATTTTCCATTTTAACTTTTTTTTTCTACTTTTAAGTAGCTTTTAAATCATGCGCTGTATCCCTTCCAATTGAATTAATAATATACATAAAATGAATAACGGTGTTCAAAGCTTTCTCAGATCTCTTTAAAGAATCATAGATGTAAGAGGTTAACATGTAAATGACGTCTTGAGCAGATTTATTTTTCTCTAAAACTATAATTGTGAGGTTGATTGTAATTCAATGAGTTTTAACAACTTTTCTTAAAGATGATATTAAAGCTATGGGGTCTGTAATTGGACACATTTTCTTTATCTCAATTTTTGAATATAGGAATTACAACTGACAGTTTAAATGCTGATAGAAAGGAACCTGTTTAAATAGATCGTTTTATAATATCTGCCAACGGTTTCCTTATGAAAACAGATATTTTAGGGTTTATGTCTTTATCGTAACCAGGTGACTTTATTTTTTTAACTGTGAATGTTTCGGAAGTTAGTTTCAGACAAAAGGATTGGTAATTAATATTTTTTTGTTATTTTAACTTATTGGATCCATTTTTATTTCTTTTTTGCTAATTTTTCTCCTATATCTATAAATTATTAAAAGATTAATTCCTCAATATTATTCTACGATTATACATATTTTTTTTTTCGTTTAACGCTCGTATAACCCTTTCTACCCTTAAACTTCTCCTACACGGTGAACCCCCGTTATTCTAATATGTGCCCTTCAACAAAACATCCATGCATTCATTCTCCATTCAGTTTTCAGTCCTTCGTAGTTAGTTGGCTGTGTCTCTCATCGGCATCAGCACCGGCTCGCGAACCATCTCTTTGATCTCGGTCGGCTGTGGCCATCACGCACCGCGCCGCGACACTCGCTTGTTTTCTTCTTCTTTTTTCGATTTTTATTCTTCTCGTTGTACTCGTCGGCTAATTTCTTCGTTTTTAGTTCGTTTTGTCCGGTGGGTTTTTTGGTTGTTTTTTTGGTTTCGGACAGGCCGGCGCGACAAAGTACTTGTTTTACCTGAGTGGTCGTTTAAAAATATAGATAGATTTTGGGATAGACTAATTTAAGATGATTTTCGGGGGGTGATTGTGGTAGAAACAAATAGAAGGATTTTTTGGATTTTGTAATATGGACATGGATTGAAAAATATAGGTAATTGTTCATTTTTTTTAAATCGAAGATAGATTTTGATTTATTTATTTAGTAATTTACGAGTTGATGCCCATTAATAATAATTATATAAATTAACATATATTAAAAATAATAAAAAATGCACATTTGTACAATAATAAATTAGAATTAGAATAGAATATTCTTGGGCCCAAAGTTCTCCTGTGACTAGTTTTTGAATTATCTATTATTCAAAAATACTTTAAGACGAAAACACTGTTATTTTGCTGATTTTAATAAATATTAAAATTTACGGTTTAACTCTCTAAAATATTACAAAATACACAACCAACCTTTTTTGAAAAACAACTATACATATAGTAATTTTTTAAATTAAAACAAAAAAGCTGCATATTTAAAAAATAATGATCCTAAAACAACACTTTTTATTATAAAAAATACACCTATACGGGGTTAGCCAAAAAGTTGGTCCAGTAAGTGTATCTATTTCACAAACATGTGCCCCAATCAAGAAGTATAGTACTTCAACATTTGGCAAAGAAAAATTGTTTTTATTCATGTTATTTCTATTTTATATTGGTTATAGATATTTTACATTTTATTACAAACGATTTGGAAAATTTAAAAACGACTTACCTCCTAAAAATATACCAAAATATACCTACAAGGTGAGTCAAAAAGGAATACAAATATTTTAGGAGTGATAGAACAATGAAAATTAAGGTTAGATTGATATATAAACTAATGTCCGAAATTTTGAAAGGGGAGAGATAAAGCCATTTAAAGGGGAAATGGAAAAACCTGTTTTTCGGTCCTAACTTCCAACCGGACCAAACTATCAACTCCAAATTTTTTGGGGAACTTAAAAGTTTTATATAATTTTATTTAATGGTAAAAGAAAAAATAATTTTTATAGGGGTAGTTTAAGGGGTTAGGTTGGGTATTCTTACCCCTATTTTTTAATTTTAAATGTATTTGCAGACTAGATAATTTGTTAACGTAATATGATAACAGCATTGCAAAATCTCAAGTTTGATCATAAACGAATCTTATACAAAAAACTTAATAATTTCGTTATCACTACAACAAATGTTCAAAATGTCCTCCATTTTCGGTTTAAAATGTGGTAATTTTTCATTAATTATGTGCACTCATTTTCTGCCCGCCTTCTCAATTTTACTAAATTATTATTTTCTGAATTATAAACTTTAAATATCCCCACACAGTAAAGTCCAGTGGATTTATGTCTGGCGACCGAGCAGGCCAGTGAATCGGCGCATATGCACCCCTGCCTATCAATCTGACAGGAAAATTTTGATGTAACCACATTCTGGCAGCCCTTGTAAAATGAGGCTAAGCCCCGTGATGCATGAATATCATTTCATTCCGCATTTGTAGAAGTAGGTACATCTAAAATTTGAAAAAGCTGATTTTCCAAAAAATCTAAATACACATCGCCGTTCTAATTGGCCTGTAATAAAAAATTTCAAGGAATCTATTACTCATTGTTGTTGTCCAAACATTGACTTTAAATGTATGTTGATACTTAATGGTATTATCGCAAAACAAAAGGATTTTCTTCAGAATAAAAATGGGAGTTGTGCGTATTGAAGACGCCTTGTAAACGTGGCCTAATCGGTAATCGGTGAAAATAGTTTTTTCTAACATTGCCTGGCAAAACTCCTTTCTGATTGGTAAATCGTCATGAAGTTCTTAAACTTATCTAAAATGGAAACTAGACTGTTCACGCAATACTCTAATTACTGTAGAATGCGAATTTTCTGACCTTAAGGCTATTTGTCTCGTGCTGACCGTTGGGTTTCGCTCAACAATATTTAGAATTTGTTCTTCGGCTTCTAGTGTTCTAGCAATTTGTGGTCGACCTGTATTACTTTGTATTTCCAGTTCTTCTGTTTGCCCAAGTCGCCTTTTAACGTTAAGAAATGTTTTTAAATTTGGTATATTTCGAAGAGGACATTTTCTCCAAATCTTCTGACTGCAGCATTAACATTGATCCAACGTAAGTGGCATGTCGGTATACTCGTCGAATGTGTACATATCTTAACAAAAATAATATTAGCACGAATAACACACCGTATTGTTACTTTTACTTGAACAAAATTGTGACAGTCTATAGCTTATTTAATATTATGAATAACATCTATTTTGCAGTAACATTTTAAAAGCCAAATTATTTAAAAACGGTTCACTCTAAAGGAGGGTATCGTTTTTTGGGATTTTTGCGACCCCGTACGAAATTTTTCTCACTAAACGATATTAAAAAAAAAGTAAGTAAAAAGTTGTAATACAGTTTTTCTTAAAAAATGTTTTCAAAATAAAAATTATACAATTTTATTAATGCTTAAACATTTTGTTCCTATTACGATAATAATTATTTACCTTGACGTCTAAATGCACAACAGCATTTATTGCAAATTCGACAATGGTCCGCTGGTTCAACCCATTCTACTCGTCTAATCTTCCTCATATTTATTAAAAATTCGCGGTAAATCGCATTATTGGTAGGTTTCAAAGTGATTTTTTTATTGATATAGTTATTTTCCTAACAAGTGCGGAAATTGTTACTTTCCCGCACGCGACTGCAGTTGGCCCGAACGACGCGAAGCGGAGTTCGGGCAAGCGGTCAAGTGCGGGAAAGACACTTTACGCATGAGTTAGGAACATTATTTTTTCTACGACCGTATATACAAAAAAGTAGGAAAAATTATTTTTGGAAAATTATTTTATTTCAACATATACAAATCTTTAAATAAAAACAACTAATTATTATGGATATTAATGTTGAATACACAATTTGTAGCATTTTGTAAATTATGTAAAATTGCCGGTACAGAGGAATTAGTTGGTGTTAATTGGCTGTTAATAGTCGTAACGCTCGTAGATTGAAAATATGACGTGGACGGGAGTGACATCGGTTGCAGGTCGCATGAAGGTGAAAATGACGGTGGCAGCAAAGGTTGCAAGTCATTTCTATTTGAAAGAATTTTATTCGAAATGTTTTTCTTCTGTGTTTCGGAGTCCTCCAAATAACCTTCAGCGATAGTAGTGAACTTCCAGCCACCGAGACGTTTTATATTGGTTATCGCTTCACCTGAGTCTGCTAGGAATGTTGCTGAAGAACGTCTAAAACTGTGTCCTGTATATCGTTCAGGATTAGGTAGACGCAAATATGCAGCAATCTCTGTTGGCATCTTACCAAAGGTGTTTACGCCAACGCACTGAATTGAGCATTTCCCTTCTTATAATTAATAAAAAAGCGGCGATGCGGAGTGGTAGGTGGTCGTAAACCTGCGTACTTTCTGTACAGCTTCAGAAAGTTTCCATTATTTATTTCTTCACATAAAACAAATGATCTTGAAGAATGATTTTTGGAATCGGAAATTTTCACAACTATCAGATTGCCTTTATCTTGTATATCATCGAGAGTGATATTTACAAGCTCCGCTCTGCGGAGAGCACTAGCTAAAGCAAAAATGGTACTCACTTTAATCATAAGGTATACCTCATCAGGGGCTAACATAAACCTGGATATATCTTCTTTGGTAAAAACCTGCGCCTTCTGTGCTCGAAAACCAACATTTTTTTGTTTTAGAAATGACGTTAACTTATGGAACTGGCTTATATCCAAATTTTGTTTTATTTTTACTAAACTTTTCACCATCGAATAGCGAGACCATAAAGTATTAGATTTCAAAAACTTACTTAGGTGCGAAAAATACGCCAGAAACACCTCTTCTTTGTAGGTTTTTACCCCTTCCTGTTTACACCATGTGACAAAATGGTCGTATTGTTTTTCATATCTTCCTCGTGATTTGGCAGGTAACACCTCCAAATGTGCTTCATTTGCAGCTTTTAAAATGGCTTCGGGCAGCTCTTCATCCGATGAATCCATTATTTCTTTAATTTATTTTAATTCAGTTGACGCTTCAACAAACAACTTTGACGTTTTTGTAACAATAACACGCCTTGGTTACCATATAGCAACCATATCAAGCCATACATGTCACAGCCTAGTCTGACTTTTAAAAATATACAGAAGGTACCTATATAAAAATATCTCTATTATTCAAGTTTTCCAAAAAATTAAAATTATAACAAAAAGCAAGAAAAAAAGTAAATTTTATTAAATGGAATAGTTGGAAAATACTAAATTACCTATTGTAACATCCGAGGTAAAAAAACTAGGTAAGGCCAAATATTCATAATTTTACTTTCCCGCACTAGTGCGGGAAAGTGGTTTTTTCCCGCACTAGTGCGGGAAAGTGACACTTTCAAACTAAAATGCGTGCGGGAAAGTGGGTAAAAATACACGGTCGTAGAAAAACATTTTATTGGATCCATTATAATAGTAGGAAGGTGAAAAGGATATATAAAATACAATAGGTAATAGAAAGACAGGTTTTTCTATTTTAGATTAATATTTTGACACAAGCCTACTTTATTTTTCCATTTCAAGAGTATCACCGTTATGTATTTTGCAAGGCTTTTGAAATCCCAATTTTCTTTGAAAATGGTACAAGCTATCAGTCTGAAATTAATACAGGCATGAATAAAAATGCATAAATTACACGTATATAGGAATACAATTTTAAATTATGGCTTGTATTTTTTTGCAAAATGAAATATTTCAGACTGATAGCTTATACGGTTTAAAAAAAATTGGGATTTCAAAAGCCTTGAAAAATACATAGTGGCGTTAGACTTAGGATAATAGACAATTATAAATAAATAAATCATTTTTTAGTTTTTATACATTTATTATTAATTTTGTTTTTGGCATTTTAATGCTTTATTTATCTTTTAAATTGCAAACTTTGTCGTAAAATGTGTTGCGTATGTTTTACACAAATTAAGGACCAGCCAGAAAACATATTAAAACATAAAAGTCTTTGATCTGTCACAGTATAAGGCTTATAGTAGCTATTCGCGCTTCAAACTAAGTGATACGCCCTCTGGAGGAAATTTGTAGAAGGTCCGTGTAAGTAGGATATCATTCAGTG